CCCAAATCACTGAGACCCCCCAAATCACTGAGACCCCCTCAAATCCCCTGAGCACCCCTGGGACCACCCCTGGGACCAACGCGGCCGAGTTCCAGGTGCTGGGACCCCCAAATCCCTGGGACCCCCCAGGAACCCCAAATCCCTGGGACCCCCCCAAATCACTGAGACCCCCAGATCACTGAGACCCCCCCAGGAACCCCAAATCCCTGGGACCCCCACTGGGACCAACGCAGCCGAAGTTCCAGGTGCTGGGACCCCCCCAGATCACTGGGACCCCCAAACCCTGGGACCCCCCCAAATCACTGAGACCCCCAAATCCCTGAGACCCCCCAGGAACCCCAAATCCCTGAGATCTCCCCCAAATCCCTGGGATCCCCACACCGGGACCAACGCAGCCAAGTTCCAGGTGCTGGGACCCCAGATCACTGGGACCCCCCAAATCACTGAGACCCCCCCACATCACTGAGACCCCCCAGGAACCCCAAATCCCTGGGACCCCCACTGGGACCAATGCAGCCAAGTTCCAGTTACTGGGACCCCCAGATCACTGGGACCCCCCAAATCCCCTGGGACCCCCAGGAACCCCAAATCCCTGGGACCCCCAAATCACTGAGACCCCCTCAAATCCCTGAGACCCCCAAATCACTGAGACCCCCAGATCACTGGGACCCCCCAGATCACTGGGACCCCCAAATCACTGAGACACCCCCCAGATCACTGAGACCCCCCAAATCCCTGGGACCCCCAAATCCTTGGGAATCCCAACCCCCCCAGGACCAACGCGGCCGAGTTCCAGGTGCTGGGACCCCCCAGATCACTGAGACCCTCCCCCAGATCGGTGTGGACCCTCCCCAAATCACTGAGACCCCCCCAAATCACTGAGACCCTCCCCAAATCACTGAGACCCCCAGATCACTGAGACCCCCCAGATCACTGAGACCCCCCAGATCACTGAGACCCCCCAGATCACTGAGACCCTCCCCAAATCCCTGGGACCCCCCCAGATCACTGAGACTCCCCCAAATCCCTGGGACCCCCCAGATCACTGAGACCCCCAGATCACTGAGACCCCCCAGATCACTGAGACCCCCCTCCAGATCACTGAGACCCTCCCAAATCCCTGGGACCCCCTCAAATCCCTGGGACCCCCTGGGACCAACGCAGCTGAGTTCCAGGTGCTGGGACCTCCCAAATCCCTGGGACCCCCCAAATCCCTCAGACACCCTGACCTCCCCTGTGACCTCCAGAGAAGAGGAATTTGAGCCCTTTTGGAGGGAACTGGAGCCCCAAATCCCTTCCTAGGCACCCAAATCCCCCAGACCCCCAAACCCCTGACCCCCCAAAACCTCCCTGACCCCCCAAACCCCCTGACCCCCTGTGCCCCCAGACGAAGGAGGAGGAGGAGGAGATCGACAGGACCCCCTGGGGGAGCTGGAACCCCAAATCCCCCCAGACCCCCCCAAATCCCTCCCTGACCCCCTGACCCCCCAAAATCCCCCTGACCCCCAAAATTCCCCTGACCCCCAGACGAAGGAGGAGGAGGAGGAGATCGACAGGACCCCCTGGGGAGCTGGAGCCCCAAAATCCCCCCAAACCCACCCTAAACACCCCCTGAGCCCCCAAATCCCTTCCTGACCCCCCAAACCCCCTGACCCCCCTGTGCCCCCAGACGAAGGAGGAGGAGGAGGAGGATCGACAGGACCCCTGGGGAGCTGGAGCCCCAAATCCCCCCAAACCCACCCAAAACACCCCCCCAAACCACCCCAAATCCCTCCCTGACCCCCAAAATCCCCTGACCTCCCAAAATCCCCTGACCCCCAGACGAAGGAGGAGGAGGAGGAGATCGACAGGACCCCCTGGGGGTGGAACCCTCGGACGAGGAATCCTCGGAGGAGGAGGAGGAGGAGGAGAGCGACGAGGAGAAACCCGACGAGACGGGGTTCATCACCCCTGCTGACAGGTGGGGACCCCCAGGGACCACCCAGGACCCCCCCAAACCCCTGAGACCCCCCAGGACCCACAGGGACCCCTCAGAACCCCTGAGACCCCCCAGAACTGCCCCAAATCCCCCTGAGCCCCCCAAATCCCCTCGGATGTCCTTGGGATGGGAGATGGGGTTCATCACCCTGCCGACAGGTGGGGACCCCAAGGACCACCCAGGACCCCCCAAACCCCTGAGACCCCCAGGACCCCCAGAACTGCCCCACATCCCCTGAGCCCCCCAAATCCCCCTGAGCCCACCAAATCCCCCTGAGCCCACCAAATCCCCTGAGCCCCCAAATCCCCCCGATGTCCTTGGGATGGGAGATGGGGGTTCATCACCCTGCCGACAGGTGGGGACCCCAGGGACCACCCCCTGCATCCCTGAGACCCCCCAGGACCCACAGAGACCCCCAGAACTGCCCCCAATCCCCTGAGACCCCCCAAACCCCTCCGATGTTCTTGGGATGGAAAATGGGGTTCATCACCCTGCCGACAGGTGGGGACCCCCTGAGACCCCCAGGACCCCCCCTGCATCCCTGAGACCCCCAGAACTGCCCCCAAATCCCCTGAGCCCCCAAATCCCCCGATGTTCTTGGGATGGGGGTCCAGCACCCCTGAGACCCCCCCAGGACCCCCAGCACCCACAAGGACCCCGAAGCACCCACAGAACCCCCCAGCACCCACAGAGACTCCCCTGAGACCCCTCAGTACCCACAGGGACCCCTGAGACCCCCCCAGCACCCCTGAGACCCCCCAGGACCCCCCAGGACTCCCAGAACCCCCTGCACCCCTGAGACCCCCAGGACCCCCAAATCTCCCTGAACCCCCCAAATCCCCCCTAAGTCCTTGGGATGGGGGTCCAGCACCCTGAGACCCCTCCAGGCCCCCCGCCCTGCTGGGAGCCCCCTGAGACCCCCAGCACCCACAGGGACCCCCAAAACTCCCTGAGACCCCCAGCACCTCCAGAGACCCCCCCCAGCACCCAGGGACCCCTGAGACCCCTCAGCACCCCAGGACCTCCCAGCACCCACAGAGACCCCCTGAGACCCCCCAGCACCCACAGGGACCCCCCAGCACCCACAGGGACCCCCCAGAACTGCTCCTGCATCCCTGAGACCCCCAAATTCCCCCAAAGTCCTTGGGATGGGGTCCAGCACCCCCTGAGACCCTCTCAGGGACCCCCCAGCACCCACAAGGACCCCCCAGCACTCCACAGAGACCCCCAGCAGCCACAGAGACCCCCAAGCACCCACAGGGACCCCCAGGACCCCCCAGCACTCCACAGAGACCCTCAGGGCCCCCCACCCTGCTGGGGAGCCCCTGACCCTCTGTGCCCCCTCGAGACCCCCCCAGGGCCCCCCTGCCCTGCTGGGAGCTCCCTGACTCTCCCGTGTCCCCCTGAGACACCCCCCAGGGCCCCCCGCCCTGCTGGGAGCCCCTGACCTCCCGTGCCTCCCTGAGACTCCTCCAGGACCCCCCCTGCCCTGCTGGGAGTCCCCTGACCTCCCGTGCCCCCTGAGACCCCCAGGACCCCTGAGACCCCCAGGGCCCTCTGAGACCCTCAGGGCCCCCGCCCCTGCTGGGAGCCCCTGACCTCTCTGTGCCCCCCAGCGAGCTGATCACCCGGGGGCTTCCGTCGGTGCCGGCGGGGATGGAGACCCCGAGCTCATCGAGCTGCGCAAGAAGAAGATCGAGGAGGCCATGGATGGGTGAGGGGGCTCTGGGGGTCTGAGGGATTTAGGGGATTTGATGGGATTTGGGGGAATTGGGTGGGTTAGGGGGATTTGAGGGGCTGGGGAAGTCTGGGGGTTCTGGGGAGGAATTGGGGGTTGGGGGACTTTGGGGGAGATTGGGGGGATGGGAGGGTTTGAGGGGCTGGGGGGTCTGGGGGATTTGGGGAGGGAATTGGGGGCTTGGGGAGGGATTTGAGGGGGATTTAAGGAGTTTTGGGGGAATTTGAGGAGGCTGGGGGTTAAGGAGGCTTTGGGAGGGTCTAGAGGGATTTGGGGAGGAGATTGGGGGCTCTGGGGATTTGAAGGCTGGGGGGTTGACAGGGTCTTGGGGGGATTTTGGGGGTCTGAGGGGATTTGGGGGCATTTGAGGGGGTTTTGGGGGGTCTGGGGATTTGGGGGTTTGGGGGCTTTGGGGGTTCTGGGAGGATTTGGGGAGGAGATTGGGGGTGGGGGGTCTGACGGGGTCTTGGGGGCATTTTGGGGGTCTGAGGGGATTTGGGGTGGTTTGGGGAATTGGGGGTTAGGGGGCATTTGGGGGTCTAGGGGATTTGGGGGTCTGGGGGAATTGGGGAGGTTTGGGAGGGCTGGGGGGATATGAGGGGTTGGGAGGATTTGGGGGATTTGATGGGTCTGGGGGTTTCGGGGGATTTTGGGGGTCTAGGAGGAATTGGGTTGGGGGAACTTTGGGGGGTTTGAGGGAGTCTAGAGGGATTTGGGGAGGAGATTGGGGGCTGGGGGATTTGAGGGGGCTGGGGGTCTGAGGGATTTGGGGGATTTGGGGGTTGGGGGCATTTGGGGGAGCCTAGGGGGATTTGGGGGGTATTTGAGGGGGTCTGGGGGATCTTGAGGATTTGGGGGTTCTAGGGGATTTGGGAGGAATGAGGGAGATTTGGGGGGATTTGAGGGGTTGGGGGGGTCTGGGGGATTTAGGGGGATTTTGGGGACTCTGGGAAGGAATTGGGGAGGTTGGGGGGACTTTGAGGGGGTCTGGGGGATTTGGGGGTCTAGGGGATTTGGGAGGGAATGAGGGAGATTTGGGGGGATTTGAAGAGGTTTTGGGGGCTGGGGATATTTGGGGGAATTGGGGTTTTGGGGGTCTTGGGGGAATTTGGGGCATTTGAGGACGATTTAGAAAATTTGGGGGGATTTGAGGGCCTTTGGGGAGGGCTCGGGGCTTTGGGGCTGCTGAGGGGACTTGGGGGTTTTAGGGGGTCTGGGGGAGGGTTTGAGGTCCTGGGGGCCCTGGGTGACCAAGAGCCCCTCCCCCCAGGAGCGAGACCCCCAGCTGTTCACTGGTCCCCGAGAAGCTAACGGCGACCGTGGGGACGGCCATGATGGGCTCCACCCACATCTACGACATGGCTGCTGTGAGACCCCTCCCCAAATTACACTGAGACCCCCTCAAATCACAGAGACCCCCAAATCACAGAGACCCCCCAAATCACTGGGACCCTCACCGACTGGGGACGGCCATGATGGGCTCCACCCACATCTACGACATGGCCATTGTGAGACCCCTCCCCAAATTACACTGAGACCCCAGACCACCCCAAATCACTGAGACCCCCCTGAGACCCCCCCAAATCACTGAGACCTCGCCTGAGAGGCTCACCCACATCTAACATGGCACTGTGAGACCCTCCCAAATTACACTGAGACCCCCTGAGACCCCCTCAAAACCTCACAGGACCCCCTCCTGGCCCAGTCACCGACCGTGGGCACAGCCATGATGGGCTCCATCCACATCTACGACATGGCTACTGTGAGACCCCTCCCCAAATTACACTGAGACCCCTGAGACCACCCAAATCACTGAGACTCCTGAGACCCCCAAATCACTGAGACCCCCCCAAAACCTCAGGGACCCTCCCCAGTCACTGACTGTGGGCACAGCCATGATGGGCTCCATCCACATCTACGACATGGCCATTGTGAGACCCCTCCCCAAATTACACTGAGACCCCCCCCCAATCACTGAGACCCCCCTGAGGGGTGGAGGTGGCGCTGGGGTGACACTGGGAGGTGACAGCAGTGACAGGGAGTTGACAGAGGTGACAGGGGAGGTGACAATGCCCTGTCCCACAGGTGATGGGCAGGAAGGGCCCCGTGGCCGAGGCCCAGGGGGTGGAGGTGGCCCTGGGGTGACACTGGGAGGTGACAGCAGTGACAGGGAGGTGACAGGGGTGACAGCAGTGACAGGGAGGTGACAGCAGTGACAGGGAGGTGACAGGGGTGTCCCCCCTCAGGTGATGGGCAGGAAGGGCCCCGTGGCCGAGGCCCAGGGGGTGGAGGTGGCACTGGGGTGACACTGGGGGGTGATGGGTGACAATGGGAGGTGACAGGGAGGTGACAGTGCCATATCCCTCAGGTGATGGGCAGGAAGGGCCCCGTGGCCGAGGCCCAGGGGGTGGAGGTGGCGCTGGCCCCGAGGAGCTGGAGCTGGACCCCACGGCCCTGGGGTGACACTGGGAGGTGACAGGGGTGTGACAGGGGTGTCCCCCCTCAGGTGATGGGCAGGAAGGGCCCCGTGGCCGAGGCCCAGGGGGTGGAGGTGGCCCTGGGGTGACACTGGGAGGTGACAGCAGTGACAGGGAGTTGACAGAGGTGACAGGGGAGGTGACAATGCCCTGTCCCTCAGGTGATGGGCAGGAAGGGCCCGTGGCTGAGGCCCAGGGGGTGGAGGTGGCCCTGGCCCCCGAGGAGCTGGAGCTGGACCCCACGGCCCTGGGGTGACACTGGGGGGTGATGGGTGACACAGGGGGTGACAGGGAGGTGACAATGCCATATCCTGCAGGTGATGGGCAGGAAGGGCCCCGTGGCCGAGGCCCAGGGGGTGGAGGTGGCCCTGGGGTGACAATGGGAGGTGACAGGGGTGGGTGATTGATGACAGGGAGGTGACAGCAGTGACAGGGAGGTGACAGGGGTGTCCCCCCACAGGTGATGGGCCGTAAAGGCCCCGTGGCCGAGGCCCAGGGGGTGGAGGTGGCGCTGGCCCCCGAGGAGCTGGAGCTGGACCCCACGGCCCTGGGGTGACACTGGTTGGGTGATGGGTGACACAGGGAGGTGACAGGGAGGTGACAATGCCATATCCTGCAGGTGATGGGCCGTAAGGGCCCCGTGGCCGAGGCCCAGGGGGTGGAGGTGGCGCTGGCCCCCGAGGAGCTGGAGCTGGACCCCACGGCCATGACGCAGAAGTACGAGGAGCACGTGCGGGAGCAGCAGGCGCAGGTGGAGAAGGAGGATTTCAGCGACATGGTGGCCGAGCACGCCGCCAAGCAGAAGGTGGGGGTGGCACTGGGTGGCACTTGGTGGCACTGGGTGGCACTTTGGGGACCGTCCCGTGGTCCCCTCCCCTCCCCCTCCTGTGTGGTGTCCCCACCCATCGCCCCAACTTCCCGGCCCTGGGTGTTGTCGTTGTGTCCCTCCACCCCCATGAGGGGTTTGAGGTGTGGGATGTCCCCAAGTGTCCCCTACTGTCCCCTCCCTATCCCTGTGACCCCCTCTGTCCCTTCCTGACCCTCTCCCTGTCCCCATGACCCCCTGTCCCCTCCTGACCCCCCCAACCCCTCTGTCCCCCTCCCCATCCCTGGGTGTCCCCCTGTGAGGGGTTTGTGGTGTGGGATGTCCCCAAGTGTCCCCTCCCTGTTCCTGTGACTCCCTCTGTCCCCTCCCTGTCCCCACATGTCCCCATGACCCCCTGTCCCTCCTGACCCCCACCCGTCCCCAACTTCCCAGCCCTGGGTGTTGTCGCAGTGTCCCCCCATGAGGGGTTTGTGGTGTGGGATGTCCCCAAGTGTCCCCTCCCTGTCCCTGTGACCCCTCTGTCCCTTCCTGACCCTTCCTGTCCCCATGACCCCCTGTCCACTCCTGACCCCCCAACCCCCTCTGTCCCCCCTCCCCAGCCCTGGGTGTCCCCCCATGAGGGGTTTGTGGTGTGGGATGTCCCCAAGTGTCCCCTCCCTGTCCTTGTGACTCTTCTGTCCCTTCCTGTCCCCTCTCTGTCCCCTCCCTGTCCCTGTGTCCCTGTCCCTGTCCCCCATGACGTGTCCCTGTTGTGTCCCCCTGTGACAGTGTCCCCGTTGTGTCCCCATGTCCCTGTCCCCATATCCCTGTCCCCCTGTCCCTGTCCCCCGTGACGGTGTCCCCGTTGTGTCCCTATGTCCCTGTCCCTGCGATGGTGTCCCTGTCCCTGTGATGGTGTCCGTGTCCCCTGTGACGGTGTCCCCTTGGTGTCCCTGTGATGGTGTCCCTGTGTCCCCCATGACGGTGTCCCCATTGTGTCCCTGTCCCCATGTCCCTGTCCCCCATGACGGTGTCCCCTTGGTGTCCCTGTGATGGTGTCCCCCATGACGGTGTCCCCATTGTGTCCCTGTCCCCATGTCCCTGTCCCCCGTGACGGTGTCCCCGTTGTGTCCCTATGTCCCTGTCCCTGTGATGGTGTCCCTGTCCCCATGTCCCTGTCCCCCTGTCCCTGTGATGGTGTCCCTGTCCCTGTGATGGTGTCCCCGTGTGTCCCTGTCCCTGTGATGGTGTCCCTGTCCCTGTGATGGTGTCCCTGTTGTGTCCCCCATGACGGTGTCCCCGTTGTGTCCCTGTTGTGTCCCTGTTGTGTCCCTGTCCCCATGTCCCTGTCCCTGTGTTCCCTGTGACGGTGTCCCCGTTGTGTCCCTGTCCCTGTGATGGTGTCCCTGTGTCCCCCGTGACGGTGTCCCCGTTGTGTCCCCGTTGTGTCCCTGTCCCTGTGATGGTGTCCCTGTCCCCCTGTCCCTGTTGTGTCCCCCATGACGGTGTCCCCGTTGTGTCCCTGCAGCAGAAGAAGCGGAAGGCTCAGCCCCAGGACGCCCGAGGGGGGGGCAAAAAGTACAAGGAGTTCAAATTTTAGGGGGGGGCTCTGCTGTCCCCTCCCTGTCCCCTCCCAGCCCCCTCCCTGTCCCCTCCCTGTCCCCTCCCTGTCCCCTCCCTGAGCCTCCGTCCCGTGTCCTTGGTCCCCTCCCCTGTCCCCTCCCTGTCCTTGTCCCCTCCCTGTCCCCTCCCTGGGCTGTGTTTAGGGGGGTTGGGGGGCCCAGGGTGGTGTCCCCTCCCTGTCCCCTCCCTGGGGGGGCACAGCGTGGTGTCACTGCCCCTGTGTCCCCCCCTCCCTGTCCTCCCCTCCTTGTCCCTTCCCTGTCCCCCTCCCTGGGCCATGTGTTCTTGGGGTTGGGGGCCCAGGGTGGTGTCCCTCCCCTGTCCCCTCCCTGGGCTGTGTTTTTGGGGGGTTGAGGGGCCCAGGGTGGTGTCACTGCCCCTCTGTGTCCCCCCCTCCCTGTCCCCTCCCTGGGCTGTGTTTTGGGGGGGTTGAGGGCCCCAGGGTGGTGTCACTGCCCCTCTGTCCCCCCCCGTCCCCTCCCTGTCCTTGTCCCCTCCCTGTCCCCTCCCTGGGCTGTGTTTTTGGGGGGTTGAGGGCCCAGGGTGGTGTCACTGCCCCTCTGTCCCCTCCCTGTCCCCTCCCTGTCCCCGTGGTTTTGTAAATAAAGGGTGTCCCCACCCCAAACCCGGCTCTGCCTCCTGTCCCCAAGGCCAGCGTGTCCCCAGGGGTGACACTGGGGTCAGTGTGTCACTGGGGGTGTCACTGGGGTCAGTGTGTCACTGGGGGTGTCACTGGGGGTGTCACTGGGGTCAGTGTGTCCCTGGGGGTGGCACTGGGGGTGTCACTGGGGTCAGTGTGTCCCCAGGGGTGACACTGGGGTCAGTGTGTCACTGGGGGTGACACTGGGGTCAGTGTGTCACTGGGGTCACTGTGTCACTGGGGTCAGTGTGTCCCCAGGGGTGTCACTGGGGTCAGTGTGTCACTGGGGGTGACACTGGGGGTCAGTGTGTCCCTGGGGGTGACACTGGGGTCACTGTGTCCCCAGGGGTGACACTGGGGTCAGTGTGACACTGGGGTCACTGTCCCCAGGGGGTGACACCGGGGTCACTGTCACCGGGGTGGCACCAAGGTCACCGTGTCCCCAGGGTGTCACTGGGCTGTGTCCCCAAAGGTCACTGTGTCACCGGGGGGTGTCCCCAATGTCCCCAAGGTGTCACTGGGGTGACACTGAGGTCCCCGTGTGTCCCCAGGGTGTCACTGGGACGTGTCCCCAAAGGTCACCGTGTCACTGGGGGGTGTCCCCAAGGTCCCCAAGGTTTCAGTGGGGTGACACTGAGGTCCCCGTGTGTCCCCAGGGTGTCACCAGGGTGTGTCCCCAAGGTGTCACTGGGGTGTGACACTGAGGTCCCCAGGATGTCCCCAATGTCCCCAGGGTGTCCCCGGGGGGTGTCACCAAGGTCCCCAAGGTTTCAGTGGGGTGACACTGAGGTCCCAGTGTGTCCCCAGGGTGTCCCCGGGGGGTGTCCCCAAGGTCCCCAAGGGTGTCACTGGGGTGTGACACTGAGGTCCCCTGTGTGTCCCCAGGGTGTCCCCAGGGTGTCCCCAAGGTCCCCAAGGTGTCACTGGGGTGACACTGAGGTCCCCGTGTGTCCCCAGGGTGTCCCCAATGTCCCCAGGGTGTCCCCAAGGTCCCCAGGGTGTCCCCGGGGGGTGTCCCCAATGTCCCCAAGGTGTCACTGGGGGGTGACACTGAGGTCCCCAGTGTGTCCCCAAGGTCCCCAGGGTGTCCCTGGGGAGGTGTCCCCAATGTCCCCAGGGTGTCACTGGGCCGTTGTCCCCTCAGTGTCCCCAGGGTGTCCCCAATGTCCCCAGGGTGTCCCCAATGTCCCCAGGGTGTCACTGGGCCGTTGTCCCCTCAGTGTCCCCAGGGTGTCCCCAGGGTGTCCCCAAGGTGTCCCCGGGGGGTGTCCCCAGGGTGTCCCCGGGCCGTTGTCCCCAGTGTCCCCAGGGTGTCCCCAATGTCCCCAGGGTGTCCCCGGGCTGTGTCCCCAATGTCCCCAAGGTGTCCCCAGGGGGTGTCCCCAATGTCCCCAGGGTGTCCCCGGGCCGTTGTCCCCAATGTCCCCAGGGTGTCCCCAATGTCCCCAGGGTGTCCCCGAGGGGGTGTCCCCAATGTCCCCAGGGTGTCCCCGGGCCGTTGTCCCCTCAATGTCCCCAGTGTCCCCAATGTCCCCAGGGTGTCCCCGGGGGGTGTCCCCAATGTCCCCAGGGTGTCCCTGGGCCGTTGTCCCCTCTGTGTCCCCAATGTCCCCAGGGTGTCCCCGGGGTGTCCCCAAGGTCCCCAGGGTTTCACCGGGGTGTGTCCCCAGGGTGTCACTGGGGTGTGACAGTGAGGTCCCTGTGTGTCCCCAAGGTCCCCAAGGTGTCACTGGGGGGTGACACTGAGGTCCCCAGGGTGTCCCCGGGGGGTGTCACCAATGTCCCCAGGGTGTCCCCAATGTCCCCAGGGTGTCCCTGGGCCGTTGTCCCCTCAGTGTCCCCAATGTCCCCAGGATGTCCCCAAGGTCCCCAGGGTGTCCCCAATGTCCCCAAGGTGTCCCCAGGATGTCCCCAATGTCCCCAAGGTGTCTCCGGGCCGTTGTCCCCTCAGTGTCCCCCACGCTCTGTCCTTGTCCCCGCGGGGGGCGTGGCCATTTCCCCCTCCACCCAATCAGCGCCTCTGCCGCGGGGGGCGAGGGGCGTGGCCTCTGAATGCGATGGGCGTGTCCATGACGTCACCACATGTGTGGGCGTGTCCCTCCCCGCCAGTGGGCGTGGCCTCGACCAGCAGTGGGCGTGGCCTCCCCGTGCGTGGGGGAAGGGGGCGTGGCCGCGGTTCCGCAGCGGGGCGGGCGCCGCCCAATCAGCGCCGCGGGTGGGCGTGGCCTCGCCGTCCTCCGCCCAATGGGAGCCCGGCGTGGCCCCGCGGCGGCCAATGGGGCGCGGGGGGCGGGGCCTGCGCGGCGATGGCGGAGCGCGGAGCCCCCGAGAGCCCCCTGCGGCCTGGAGCCTCCCGGGCCCCGCGGACCCCTGACCCCCTGGCCCTGGGAACCCTCTGACCCCCCGGGCCTCGTGCACATGAACCTGTTCGCCACGTGGGAGGTGGACCTGAGCTCGCCCAGCTGCGTGCCCAGGTTTGGGGGAGGAGCGACCTTCCGAGACCTCTCGGGACCCCCCTGGGACCACTGAGACCCCCTTGAATTCCACCTGGGGAAAAACACGGGAGGATGGGGGCGGGGGCTTGAGGGGAGGG